AAATCCGGCTAAAGCGCCGGACATTCGCTTTTCGTTCTCTCAATTTCGTAATCTACACCCCCGCCACGATAAGGCATTGAGTGGGACTTCCCTGGCAGAGGCTGTATACGCATGGCCGTGTGAGAGCATTTCGAGAGGAAGAGCGGGCTCACCCCACTCGCGGCCATACCAGGGTATTTGGGGGCATCGAGTTCTGTTAAATGCAATCGTTTATTCCACAACCCGAATACTGTCTCCATCAGTTTAATTAGTGTTCTTGATATATTGCTCTCCTTTACTTCGAATTAATCACAACCTAATAAATCCCACACAATGAAGTTCGAAATCAATATAGCATTCCTGTTGCTGAGGGTTTATCAGCCTACCGGAGGGTAGTTGAGTTAGCAGTTGGATTCCGCAACTTATCACGTCTCCCAGTTCACCCGCGCATGTAAGATATGAACATATATATGAAGTTATGGTTGGTGTGAGCCATGTTGAGGGATGCAGACTTCCAGATGGGGCCGAACGTAATACCTAAAATCAATTATTTAAGGGATTGCATGACAGGACAAAATCTTTCATAGTAGTGCAATTGGAACAGTTCCTCATGGAATTTTGAATTCCGAACTAAGTATTAATCTCAACTTTTATTTTTTAGATTTAAATAGTCAACTCTGTATTTGAAAGTAGTGCATAAAATTTGGTAACGAATTCAAACGATTCGTGGGAAAACTAAAACTTGATCTCATGATATTTAGACTCCGTTAACACTCCTCGACTATCTGTACTAAAATGATTCCCTCTTCTTTAGGAAGGGGAAAAACTATTATTGTCGATCGTCGTACAGTAGTAAAAGTACGACTTCAGAGTTTAATGATCTGCCGTTTGAAGATAGTTGCACTAGTTGAACCCGTTAGCCTTTATTTATTTATTTGAACACAAATATTGGTACAAGTGGCCATCAGATATATATGCGCCACACTAGTTGAACACTTAACTTTATTATCTTATCATCAACCACGAAAGCATATAACGTATTTACAAATTCCTTGACTTTTTTAACCTGTTCGACGGAGAACTGTAACCGTCCTACCACGATGAAATCACAGCTGAGCCCCAAAATTCAAATTGGCATGTAATGAGTATCGACCTCTGAAGTAAACCAACAATTTAGAAAAATAAATAAAATAAATTCTTTGGTTCACTCGGATAAATTCATGTAGAGTTATGTAATATTATACAGAGTGAAACCGGATATTAGTATACACATTTGTGTAATAATAATTAACGATGATGCTATGAAAGCCACAATTAATTTCGAAGGTCAACTAGGAATTAAATATGTTTAGAAGGATAAGAAGAGATAAAAAATATTTAATGTGTCTGGGGACTAATAATGATATCAACAACAGTAATAATTATAGATACGAACATAAGCAGACTTCATATATTAAGATGAATAAAAACAAAAAAATGGATGTGCAAAGGTTCAAAGGTTACATTTGCTTTTCAGTCGGTTAGACAGATGACGGACCTAGTTTGTATAAACCATTATTAAGCACATTGATATTTAATAGGTGACACAATCCAATTTTGGAAAGAAAATCATCTAGGAAACTTCTGAATCGGGTTGCAGTTTAACTGCAACGGAGGTTCACTGGCAGACTGCTTCACATAGTTGAGTCGCGAATAACAAAAAAAATTATGGCGTAAGTTTGCGTAGGTTTTTGGAATCGCTAGAATATCTTGTTTATTGCGTAGATTGTGGGATATCAAAGGGTATGAAGGAGTGGATGCCAAAGAGTAGGAAACACCGTTAATAAGCCGGTAGATAAAGACAACTTTTAATTTGATACGTCTGATCCAGAGAGGTTCTAATTTGAGCTGTTGACATCTTTGGTGATAGCCTTTGTTGTCAGAATACCCCAAAACAGCTTTAGTGAACCTTCTTTGAACACCTTCAATTTTAATCAGGTCATTATGAATACAATTACTGTAAGCTAAAATACCATATTTAAGAATGGGTAGCATACATTTTTTGAATAGAAATAATCTCCGTTCAGTGTTATTGAAATTTACCATTGTGGATCTAATGAGCTCTCTAGCTCCGGATACCTGAGATGCAATCTGCTCGGAAAGGTTTGTAGTGACCTACTTTTGTCAACAAAACGCGATTGGTTCAATGAAAACAATTATTATTATAACCAATTGTACCAGTGACTGTTTTACCGTGCTCGTTTGTTTAACTATGCTAATGACAGCTATTATACTTACTTACCTCCCGTTGACTTTGAACTTATACGAATTCGGTAACGCTCAGTAACCACGCTTGTACTCCTTTGGCACGATCTCGGTATTCTTTCGATACCACGAGATCGCCGACAAGTACATCTCGACTACAGCCATCATCTGCCTTCTGATATTGGCCTACGGGGATCTTATTGGTTAATTGGCACGTAGTCATCTTGTAGCGGTGTTCATAGTCAAGCTCGACTCGACACTACGCTACAGGTTCAAACTACTGCCGTAACTCAAACCTTAGTCACGAACAGTGTTTAGAGGTTTCGGTGTATGTTTGTGTATAACCAGATTTAGGTTAGAGCAGTGGAGGTATTCAATATATCTCAGCAATGTAAAATGTATTTAGGGGTGTCGATATTTTCTTTTAATTCTTTTCTGCTCATCAGGAATCATCAACTTTCCATATTTATTCTGCTGAATGACGACCGCTGATTATAGTTGAAGAAAAGCTCTGGAATAAAATAAACTCGTTTCTTTTTCTGTAAATCTTGTTTTATCGTCGTGGAAAGGTTCGTCAAGGTAACAGTGTATGATAATTTCCGTATTCTTCAAGTTTTAACCAACATTTTGCTCCATTGGATGGAAAATACTATTCTACAACTCTAGAACGATCCTGATAGTTGACTTCATTTTACTCCGACAACCATGAAAATTTTTACTATATTTCCTTCTGTTGCATACTTGTAACTATTTACGTAGATGCATTTTAGGAAACCAGTCGTCAACGTTGATATAAGTGCTGCTTATGGAAATATCAACATCCTGAAAAACGTTTTACAATAAATATTTAGCTGTTTCAGACTATATAATTATTATTCAAGTGTATTTATCAACTCCGCTCTTAATGGTAAAGTGCTGAATAAGTTCATCCCTGACAAGATTTACTATCATTTTTAACGATTGTTCTTGTAAACCTTCACTTTTTTGGTCACTTGATTGTCTTGTTGATGTTTCTATGTATATTGGATTAAAAGAAGTTATGACCTAGTGATATCGTTTACTAAGATCTATGAATCTTATTTGATGTGTGGGCGAGAATGATGATGATTGGTTGTCTGCTTAGTCAAACTTGTAGATGGTCTGACAAGGTGTCAGATGAGTTATATATTCCCCCATCCCTATTATTATTATTATTATTATTATTACCACTCACTTATTATTGATTGTTCATTGTTGTTGGATTGTGTCGGGTTTTGATGTGAAAATATACTTACTTTCTAGTCAGGCTAATTACGTGTTCTTGATCTGAGTTGTGTTGACGTCCTGTAGAATAGACACTGGGTGGGAATCTAGTGTAGATATTCGTCTAAGGTAAATTAACGTCCCATACGTGTAAACGTGGAAACCCAACCGTTATAACATTAGACGAAGTAAAACCGAGCGTTATAACACTATTTCATACAAACTAGTGGAATTAACTTGTCTATTTACAACAAGTACCTCAATCACCTGCGCATTATTAATACCTGGCTAGTTGGCTAATGGAATCCTCAAAAAACACTTTGTTTTTCAGTGAAGATAATACCATCTAATTAATCATCTGTGTCATATAGTATCCTTCTGGAAACTAGTTGTTGACCGTACTGATTTTTGCTATCTACCGTGGCGCCCATCAGATATAATAATTGTTTGCTGTGAAAATCCAATACTTTCATATCCACCACTCTTCTTCATAGAGTGATGTACTTTAAACAACACCACGTTTCGCTTTCACGTTTCCTAGGCTTAATTCGGCTCCTGGACTGATAATGATGCAATAAAATGTTATATTATTCCCTTTATTTTATTTTATTTTAACACATAAATATCGGTACAAGAAGGCACCAAATACATATGCGCCACACAGATCTCATTTGATATGTGTGAGGGCTGTGATACTGCCCGGGTGCCCAAACCGAAGCAGGTGGTTTTCTTAGGGGGCCACACCCCGAGCCTTCGACCTGAACATCTAACCCACAAGGCAGTGGAGCATCGTGAGGAGATGCAGTCCCATGGTAGCCGGTGACCAACGATTGGTTCATACGCCATTTGTTCCTTCAGGATACTGGAGCCAGCCCATGTGCACCATTGGTTTGGGATCCGGTTATAGCGCCGGACATTCGCTTTTCGTCCTCTCATTTTTGTAAACAACACCCCCGCCACGAGAAGGCAGTGAGTAGGACTTCCCTGGCAGGGGCTGTATACGCGTGGCCATGTGAGAGCATTTCGAGAGGGAGAGCGGACTCTCCCCACTCTCGGCCGTACCAGGGCATTTGGGGGCATATTATTCCCTACTATTGCACCGTTTGATCAAAGTAGTGTATGAAAAAATTTATCCTTATATACTATGCGGATAAATTGGAAACATGACTATTATTCTAATTTATTTCGATCTATTGAAAAGATCTACAGAATTATGGTAAAACGATTTAAATAGCTCAGACTTTGGCGTCTTTATACCTCGAAAATGGCGTAAGGAGATATATTAGTTTCTCAGAAGTTATAAAGAAGTTTAATTTGTCTGATATGATTCGGTGATCCTCGTATCCTATGTTGAAACCCTGTTCACCAATTCTGACTCCCGTTTAGACTACTTTTGTATAGTTGTCAAAGGAATAAACTATTGTTTTTAAATAAATTCACTACAACTGGCTATAGCCAATAATAAATACTAATGCTTTTAAACCCTAAAATCATGTTCAAATAAAACAGCATAATACGTTTTTCATATTTGATAGAAATAACTCTGGAACAGTCAGCTGGTCCTACCGTTGATAATCTATTCAATTCTCCTGTATCTGAACCTGGTCCCACAAAAATACCTTCTGTAATTGGAACTAGAAAACCGAATACTACACGGGTAATTTCACTATAATACATGACTATGAATAACTTGTCTTATTGTAAATTCAGGCTAGTAAAAATTGTATTTTAAAACAAAAGTATGCGATATCAATCAGTTTATTTACCAACTACACATCTGAATCTTCCGACTACTGATCGAATGAAATAAATCTGCCATGTATTGCTTCTATATTCAGTCCTCTTGTTCTCATGAGTTTTACTAGCAGCTTATTGTCATCCACTTTGTTTAATCAAGTAACATTAACTTTTTTTATTGTACGCCTTGATCACCAAGGTGTTTGGTGTACAACTCAATAAATGGATGGGAATAAAGATAAAATGTATTGAATTCTACCACCAGCCAAAACTAAATAGTGTATTATCAAGAATCCAGTCTCACTATTTGCCTACCAAATTTTCTCTCTCCACAGTTCACAAGAGCTAGAATTTCTATAGCACTTATTTATCCTCTTCTGTTCTCAATATAACAAACATTTATGTATTAATTTTTAAATTAATAAGTTCCGTTTCATTATACTGTTTGTATAACATTTTACAGTCATGTTTATATTACTCCGAAACAGTGACGTTGATTCTTTGAAGTTGGTCCTTTGACATTTATCAGATTCATACTTAGGTATTGCTTATTTGAAGTGCACTCAGAAGACAGTAATTAAATTTACTTCCAATTCAATTGTGTACAAACTTAGTTTATTCTAATAATTTGGATATATTATTAACTACTTGTTCTGTTGTTGGTTTGATTCAGGATGGTACTCGTCACAGATTGACCTTAATTAGGGTACCGCGAAATCATAAGATTTTGTGTTTGATCCCGGGTGGGATCGTAAGTGGACATTGACGGGGTTTCATATTTGGACAAAAGAACTCCCTGATTTCTAATAGTGCTTCAGCTGAGGTCAATCTATAACGATTAATACCTTTAGACCAAACTGATTTCCACAAGACTCACTTAAAATAATGGATTTCTCAACACCCTCTTGCTTGAAACTAGTCATATCTGGACTTTTGTAGGCTGAACCTTAGTCGTTTTACCGTACATCTTTTCACATCGTTTCACTTCCGTTCTATCCATTCATTTTAACAATTCTTCAAGTTGCCTAATGAAATCCTAGCCCATAACACTTGGTGGACCCTCCACAAATTTTAAACATTTCCCAGATATGGACTGGCGATTGAATATTTTTACCAACTGCTAGCCTTAATCCATCTATTTCAATCCAGTGAGTTTTCAAAACCCAAGATGTGCATTTGATTAGCCTTCTTTTCGTTGTAGTTCAAAGCTTTGCAGTTACAAGTAAAGTTAATATTTTATAGAAATCATCTCCATCAATCATCTACCGACCGTTCTTCATTTAAATAGGTCATTGAAGACCTATTGTAAACATAAACTACACAGAATTTCCTACATATCTCTGTTCATTGTGAACATGTTGCCAGTCAAACATTTTCGACGAATAGCCTGTTAAAACTATTATCATCGTTATCCATTTTAACTCTCTTGGGGTCAGTTCTCGCTTTATTAACATTTTCAGAATACAATGGATTTCATATGTAAGGTGTTTGCTAATTGTTGCGCTCAGAGAAATTGTGGTCGATTTTAATCCTATGAAGTTAGCAGTTCACCGCCTCATAGTTAATAATCTGATTAATAGTCTTGTGTATCTTAAAAATGTACGAACTGATTATCACGTGATAACTATTTATGGCTATACAAAGATCAAGTAAAAGTAATACTTGAAAGCTCCAAAGTTCCGTTCTAATCAGTTGGTTTCTTAAAAAAACCAAGCAAACCGAGAAAGCGTTGCGTGATAGAATATGTAATAACACGGTCATAATAATGACTCGATAACTTATAGTCGCGACCCTCCTTACTAAAAATATCCATTCGATATAGGATGATATTCCGAATAATTTGGATAACTTACTAATGCTATTAAACGGCTGAGTAAGGCAGTTAAATATAAATAAGCAAAACAGCACGATTGACCTATGTTGATACGTTCATACTAAATTAAGTCTGCTATTCCTCCTGGGGTACTGTCTGCAGTCGCTCTCAAGATTTCTGCATTATATGTTCCATTCAACTGATTGTTCAACAGTGATTTGCATTGTCGCAATTTGGTCAGTACACTATATTCTCTTGCCAAAGCCAGCTCGTTAATTTCGAAGTTGGGTGTCTTCTAAATCTTACATTCTGTTCAGCAGCAATCTGCCACAACGGCCTGATACTGAGAGTAGTGTGCATACTCCTTTTGTAATTCTCACACCTAATGCAGTGAACGACTAATTTATTGTTTAATGCACAATCACACAATGGCCTAGTAGAATGTGAAAATCATACATCAAGCGCATTATTTGCACATCTTCTTTGAACTGTCTCTTACAAACTTCTTTGTTCCTTATCTCTTCTCTTCATTTCGATCTTAACCTTCGACTCGCAGACATTCCACTTCCGACTGTTGTCACTACTTATATCTGCAAACATAAGTATCATACACCACACTAAGATTCCCTTTCTTTGATATTTTGACGAGGCATACTTCTTTTCAATCTTTTATTACTTGTTCTTCTCCACAAATCCTTTTCAAGAAAACATATTTGCAGTTGCCATATTATTTAACGTTGGTGCTTCAGCTAGTATGCTGTTTGGTCCTGCTCTGCCAATAGTTGTTTGTCTGATGGCTTTGCTATTTTTAGCGGGGTATCATCCATAGGGAGGCCTGCATTTGCTTCTTCCAAGTTCAGTGATTTTGGCGGCGCGGGTCCGTTTATAGGATTTTCAATGTGCTCTACTCACCAGTCCCACTATTCTTGATCTTCGGTGATTGTTTTTTTCTTTGTTCCTGACTGGTCGCTCTGGTCTATATTCTCTTGCGAGCCTTTTGGTTGTATCACATAGTTCTCTTATATTTAATTCTGTTGCATCTTTCTCCACTGTATTTCTCAGGTCTTCTATATATTTTCGCTTGTCGGCCATAGTTCCTTCATTTGTTTGTTTGTCTCTTTATATTCACCTTACGCCTTGGTTTCCACCGTTTTTGTTCGGCTGTTTTTGACCAGTGTCTTATCATTTTCCCTTTCTTGGAACTTCCTCAGTCTGTTCGCAGAGTATCTTTCATTTACGTTGGTGCTTGTTAGGGGTCAGCACCCCTTGACATGTCGAATTTGTTGCTTCTTTAATCTCTTTGCGGTATTCCTGCATAGTTATTTCCCCTTTTTCTGGTAGATCTCGTATGACTCAGATTTCGCTACTGAAAGCTATCTTGGACTCAATGATTCTGTTAGCATCTACAGCTATTTGTAGGACCCTCACGGTCTATCACTGTTAGAACATCCCATGTTCCTATGTTTACCATTGCCTTAGATATCAATAGGGAAGTTGACGTCTCGAATTCCGGAGACTTTCGGTTTCCACCACGAGTGGTCATAACTGTTCTATTTTAAAAGCCTTTAACTCCCAGGGCAGGATTTAGATGTTTTAAATAATGTTTATGGTAAGCGCTTTTTAATGAGACCCTTTTTATGATCTGGGGTTATAAACCTTACACACATTTCTTCTCACTCAGGTTTTGTGTCGGCCTATTTTATATGTATATTTCACGAGTAAATTTTGTGATTTGATAGTGCATATTCTAAAACACGTTACTATAGTTACAATACAAAAAATGAAAGTGTATCGTTGAACTCCAATGCATTTTGCGGTAAGATTTTGTAAAGACTTTCTAATAATAAAGTTTATATGTCTTTCACATAAATTTTTTCAATCGTATTTGTTTATATTTCATACGTTTCTGAACGGTTTATATCCCTCTTCTTCTGTAAATTCAAATGTTTCGTTCAGTCTAGTGCTAAAAAAGGTGGATTGGGAGCATCAAAGGTGAAAGCTGATTTTTCTGCCATCGTTTCTGCTGCCGAACATGCTGATTTTGAAATGAAAGGTCAGATTCGCTCAACTGACCAGGATTTAGAAGATAAGGAAAAACGTAATGAAGAACGACTGTAAGTGTTTCCTAATAGAATATCCCGTTATATATATTTAAAAAGGATTGACTGACTAAAAGCTTGTTTCATAACTACTATATTTTAATAATTATCACCCCATAAGCTCAAAAAATACATATGGCATAGATTAAACTGATTGCAAACTAAATTTTTTAAATTTTTTTAGTGCGTCACTTCGGTTAGCGTATAAAGATATTACCGATGAATGTGAAAAGCAAGACACTGCAAACTTGAAGTCTACAGACCCTCAACGTGCCAAACAAGCTGAACGCCTTGGTATGGGTAAAATAGGTACAGGCAACAGGTAAGTTTAGAAGAAAAAAAAGAGGTTTTTCTCGTTCTTTCACTTCGTAAGTTCTGAATCACTTTGTGAACTGCAAATATATTAACTGAATTATAGTGTATTTCTTCCTCTTTCCTCTACTTTCAGCTAACATAAATTCCGGTCTCATTATTTTATGGCATTTGATACAAGATTAGTTTGACCATTGTTACTTTTCAATAGTGGAGATCGTGAGTCAACTGAAGCTAGACAACCATGGAAAACCTGGAAGCACTGGACGGCCATTTTGTCCTATTGTGGAACTTTTCAGCAGTTCGCATCCACGATCCCGCCTCGCGAGGTTTGAACTCAGGATCTATTGGTCTCGCCCGCGAACGTTTTACCTCTGGACCACTGACCCGGCATCGTGAATGTGCACTGCTGAGGTGTTCCACAATAGGACGAAACGGCCGTCCAGTGCTTCCAGGTTTTTCATGGCGGTCTAGCTTCAATTGACCTATTCTAGTGAACAAGAACGCCATTGGGGACAACCGAAAGTATTTGAGCGCAAAATTACAGAGCATCTCAATAAAATCTGAGAACCATATAGCAAATCGTTAATTTTCAAAATATCAATCCATCATATCAAACTTGACTGTTCCTGTCGCAAACACCAATCCATTGTCTCATATTTCATTGTTCATGCGTTTTCATACCAATTACGTTCCGTTCCCGTTCTTTCAGCATCGACCTACTGAAATACATTATATGCCTGACCACCGTTATATACTACTTGTGTGGATATAAGTAACTCACACCACACCATGCCATGATCTCAACTACTGAGATTACTATAATATCCACAAAACATCCTTCTGATAATAATTGTTACTTTCTCAATCAGTTATCAAACTTGTTTTCTACATTCATTCACACTTAGTTAATTAGACTGTCACCCCTCGTGGAGGAGCATAGGGCGCCCAACAGCACTCTCCATCCAACCCTGTCCTCGGCAATACTTTCCAGTTGCTATTCATTCCGGCCTCCGATTTCCGACTCACCGTGTTCTCCAGCCTTCCTCTTTCCTGTTTTTTACTTCAGAATTCTAAGTCAGCACTAACCTCGTGATTCAGTTTGATGATTTCTTGAATGTTCCTCCCATTCGCTTCCAGCATCTTTTCCTAATTTCTTCTTCATCTGGAGCTGGTTTGCTCTCTCCCACAGAAGGCTGTTGCTGATGGTATCCGGCCAACAGATATTGAGTATCTTGCGTAGACAATTGTTTACAAATACTTGTACCTTTTTGATGATGGTTATGGTAGTTCTCCAAGTTTCAGCTCCGCACAGTAGAACTGACTTGACGTTCGTATTGAAGATTCTGACTTTGATGTTGATTGACAATTGTTTTGAGTTCTGCACTGGTTCGTGTGTATGGGATAGAAGGGCAAGGTTATCTACGAAGTCCAAATCTTTTAATTGATCATGAGCTGTCCATTGTATTCCGAGCTTTCCCTCAGATGTGGAGATCTTCATAATCCAGTCGACCACCAGGAGAAAGAGGAAGGGAGAGAGCAAGTAGTGTTGTCTGACACCGATCTTTACTTAGAATGCATCTGTCAGCTGTCCTTCATACACCACTTTGCAGTGTAGTCCGTCGTATGAATTCCATATGATATTGAAGATCTTCTCAGGTATACTATAGTGTCGGAGAAGGTTCCATATGGTTCTCCTATCCACTCTGCCAGATGCCTTGTCATAGTCAAGGAAGTTAATGTATAGTAACGACTTTCATTCCATTGTTTGATCAACAATGACCTGTAGTGTCGCGGTTTGGTCTGCTCATGATCGATCTTTACAGAATCCGGACTGTTGATCTCGAAGCTGAGTGTCCACTGAATCCTTCATCCGGATCGAAATCATTGTTGGAAACTTTTCCTGGTACTGATAGTGGTGTGACGTCTCTGTAGTTCACCTATTTGTTAACATACATATTAAGGTAAATCCAATGATTTCAGTGGTTGTGGACGTTATACACGAAGCTTAAGTTTATCGGGCTTTTATGTTTAGTAGCTGTGGATCACCAATTCGTAGGTATATTACCGATGAAATAGGAAAACGTAATGGGTAAATTATAAAAATATACTTTCCTTATTCATTGAGAATATGTCAAGTTTCCTCTTAAACGACTCCTGGTAGGTCGCTTGGACTAGCTCTCTTGGCAACTCTTAATTAGTAGAAGTTGTGTACACAGTCCATTCTGCTATATTGTATCTCCAATTTCCGGGTGTTACCCTTCAGGTTTATGTTGTAGCTAAACTTAAGTAGGTGTTTAAGTGGATGTCTAGAAGTGCTAAGGGTACTGTAAGTCATTAGAAGGTTACTTCTAATACACCTGTACTCTAGTGGGTAAAGGTTTAGTGATTGGAGGGCGCTATTCATAAGGCTTGAATTTGAGACCTTGAACTGATTTGGTGGCTTGCGTTGGATACGCTCCAGAATGTCCTCACCCTATAAGAGTGAGGGAGGAAATACTGTTTCCGTACTCTAAATGGGGATGAATAAAACTGTTGAAGATTATGTGGAAAGTTCTTCCTTCAAACTGGCCAAAACTGTGCTTCAATGTTACCAGTGCAGGATTTGCTCGAAAGGCATTTTTGTCACAGTTAGCGTAAGACTTCAAATCGTAGGGTACCGGCACACCTAAACCTTTTTCTACTCGGGATACTACTGTTCTTCACGAGGTCTTGTAATTCTTCGACTTGTTCATTTCTAAGGTGTATCATACGAAGACTGTCATCCTATGTTTTATATCGGGTACATTTTACCTGAAAAATAAAAAAAAATTTCGATGGATACTTGCCAGCTCATATTATTCCTATTACGGACTTAAGTCTAAAATAGATCTAAAATTTACCATATATTCATAGTCTCTGACCATTGTATTAACCAGATTATTACTTAATAACTACTAATACTCAGATATTATATTTGATTTAACGAGCTCTGTACTCACCCAGCTTCAAATCATGGTCAACAGTTCCAGCAAAAGAGAAAGTTCATCAACTTCTAAGCCAAATAAAAGGTCCAAATCTGTAACTCCCATGACTGACGACTCAGTAACTGATAATGTCGAAACTTTACCGAATGACTGTATGAATGAATGCACGTTTATTCTTAGCAGTGCGCGCATAAAGGATAAATTAAGGCTGGAATCAGTACAGAGACGATTTACACTTCGTATTCTTGGAGCTGATTGTACCTTAACTTATAATTCTAGATGTAAAAAACTAGAGCTAGACCCTTCTACTTAAGGTCTTATAGATTAGGCAGTCATATTATGACAAACCTACAATTTCGGGATCAGGTCTGCTATTATAGTATATATAATTTTGAACTAGACCGTAATTTTCACTGTAGTGGGCTACTCAGTTGGTTTGATATTTTATAAGGTATATCGATCACAAAAGTATGAGGGATAATATTTCTCACATATCAGTCAGTCAGTCTTGAGTGCTGTTAGAGGTATGAGGGCGGTTATCACTTCCCGGTTGCCCACACCGTGGAAGGGTTCTTCTGGAGGTACCTGAAAAGGAAATTGGATTAGAGTTGGTCTTAGTGACCTGAGAGCGTGACCGCTGTGCCGAAGGTACAACTGATTGAGGTCGGTCACACACGACCTTTTTATGAGTGATTTTTGTGTTAGCTCCGTACTTGTTGAGTCCTTACCGCCGGAGACGGATATCCGTGGGATAAGGCGAGGTGTGCATTTTTAGGGTTGACCTTTTCTAACCTCACCCCTCCTTGTGGGAAGGCAGCATCGCTGTCATGCTGGTTGTCTGAAGGAAACACCTTACTGCTGTCACACCTCTGTACAGTCAGCAGTACGACTTCGCCTTCGGATTATTGCATTTAGTCTTACCGCTCTTCAACCGACCTGTCTGGCATGGTAGGACCTTGAGGAACGGTTGTTCCAGCCAGTATAGCTCAGTTGCTTCATCACGATAGGCAAGCCCGACCACCACGTCAAGGTAGCAACAACGGTCAGGTTTCTCACATATGAATGCGAATAATATTGGTAAGATCCCTATTGTCAATATGACAGCTGGCGAGCTGTTATCATGTGTACGTGGTGTAAACCGAGATTTAAAAATCTATCTATGAAGTTATTCTCATGAAAAATATTACCAGTTTTAAACAAATTTTCCTTACGTTTAAATGTACAATATGATTTCATTTAAGAAAAGTCAGATTTTTTAATTTTGAAATTATTACTCATCGTTTACTTTTCTTCTTTCTAAACGTCTTGACAACACTTATGATGTGATTGTATTCGATCGTTTCACTGATGGTTAAGTAGTTTCCGTCAATGTCGCAACTGTACATTAGTGTGTGATAATGAAAATACTTCTCAACTTATCAAAAAAACAATTTTATTCCCATTACTTGAACGAGTATCCACTAACCTATATATCCATTTTTTTATAGAGAAATATCGCACTCAGCATTTGCAAATGTTCAAAAAATAGAGCAAGAAAACTCGGCTCCCACCCACACTTCACCGCTAAGTTCAAATTCGGACCCTTTCTTCATTTCAAGTTACAGTAATAGAGACCGTGATACACGAAATTTTTTCGATTCTGGAGATGATAATTTATTCGGTTAGTGACAGTTTTGGTTTTTGCCAGTAGGTTTTTTTTATTATTCTGTGGTAAATATCAGGAGTTCAATAATGGTGATTAATTAAGAGCTGTATTTTATAGTTTTATACAATCTTAGCGTTATGTAATACACATATAAAAGTAGCTGAAGTTTTGGTCATATATACTTCCTAAATTATTTTCATTTACTGTTATTATGTTGCCCCTCAGACCAACTTATAGCTAGTGTTTCTGATTGTAGTGGATTTTTTAAAATAAACAAATTGTTACCTTTACATTCTTATTATGTAAGTTTCTCTTTCCACTAAAGTTTACTATTATCTTCTCACGCATTGCCGTGTTATTTACTTCCTAAAGGAGGCTCCGCGACGTATGGTATGAATGGCGGATGGTCAAAAAATAAATCAAGGGACAATGACTGGGATGGGCATTTTTCAGATCCTTTCAATCAAAAGTCAAACAGAACACGTGATTTGTCTACTGTTGCTGATGAGTTTCCAACTAAATCACCCTGCAAACAGCCCACATCTCTTTCGTCTACACAATCAGAAACTAATCCAGATTTAAGTGAATTAATGAAGAAGTTTGCCAACGCGACTTCTATATCGTCGGATGCGTTTTTTGACCGAAATGATGTAAGCCTAAATGGACTAATATGTTTATCTTTGGTTTATAAGTTCACATCATATTACTGACATAACCTATATCTAACAATCCTTGAAGATTCTTTACATGCCTACGTTGCTCACAGAAATCGGTAGTTTGAAGAAGCCATTTATATTTTATTATTTATTTGAACGCATAAATATTGGTACAAGAGGGCGCCAAATATATATGCGTCACGCAAATTTTTATTTTATTGGTGTGTGGGCTGTGATACTGCCAAGACCAAAGCAGGTGGTTTTCTTAGGGGGCCACACTCGGAGTCTTTGACCCACAAGGCAGTGGAGTATCGTGAGGAGATGCAGTCCTATGGTAGCCGGTGACCAACGATTGGTTTATACGCCATTTGTTCTCTCAGGGTACTGGAGCCCATGTGCACCATTGGTTTGGATCCGGTTATAGCGCCGGACATTCGCTTTTCGTCCTCTCATTTTAGTAGACAACACCCCCGCCACGAGAAGGCAGTGAGTAGGACTTCCCTGGCAGAGGCTGTATACGCATGGCTGTGTGAGAACATTTCGAGAGGAAGAGCGGGCTCATCTCACTCGCGGCCATACCAGGGCATTTGGGGGCAGCCATTTATATCGTAATCATGAAATGCTACATTACTATTAATTCCTATATTCTGGAAGATGTATATTTAGCTGGACCCCGTCTACAGAATCAAGATATTTAAGCGTGTTTTCATGTCAAAGACCTGTCTGAACAGCGAGATCGCTTCGAAAATTCTTTCTTTTACTAAATATCAACATCTGAAATGACTGACGGAATACAGGAATACTTGGTAGTTGACTCGGTTCCTTCCATTATTCTCAAATTTCTTTAGAGTCATACCAGATTTTTCGTGGATATTCATTTCTGTCTTATCAGAACTCAGTAATTTTCACTCTATATCTTTGGTTAGTTCTTGGTGTTTATTTTGTTTACTGATTCCGTTTCCACTATTAATATTAAAATTCAAGGTACTCCTTTTTCCTCAGACTCAATGGTTGTCAATCATTTGAGATGGCTGGGACATGTGTTGCGCATGCCCGACCACCGATTGCCCCGACGTGCTATGTTTTATGGTGTAGGAGTAGGTTGGAAGAAAGCTAGGGGCGGCCAGACCAAAACATGGCACAAATCCATGAAGTCACAGCCCCCAAATGCCCTGGTACGGCCGAGAGTGGGGAGAGTCCGCTCTCCCTCTCGAAATGCTCTCACATGGCCATGCGTATATAGCCTCTGCCAGGGAAGTCCTACTCACTGCCTTCTCGTGGCGGGGGTGTTGTTAACAAAAATGAGAGGACGAAAAGCGAATGTCCGGCGCTTTAACCGGACCCCAAATCAAATCAATGGTGCACATGGGCTCCAGTATCCTGAAGGAACAAATGGCGTATGAACCAATCGTTGGTCACCGGCTACCATGGGACTGCATCTCCTCACGATGCTTCACTGCCTTGTGAGTCAGACGTCCAGGTCGAAGGCTCGGGGTGTGGCCCCCTAAGAAAACCACCTGCTTCGGTTTGGGCACCCGGGCAGTATCACAGCCCTCACACAAATCAAATGAGATTCGTGTGGCGCATATGTATTTGGTGCCTCCCTGTACCTATACTTATGTGTTAAAATAAATATAAAATAAATAAATGAAGTCACTGACAAGTGGACTGAGTCATGTTGGTAGGTGTAGATTACCTGGTTGGGGACCGCGAGACGATAGCAACCGATGGTTAGAGACCTTGAATGACATGGCTCAAAATCGTTTGCAATGGCGCAGGTGCATCCACTCTTTGTGTTCTCTCAAACTCGAATCTTCTGAATTCTTCATGTCCTTTATTTTCTTTCCCAATTTATTCCACTGGACTATACTCCTTTAATAACATCATCAAACCTTAATGTCCCCTATCTCTACTTATACTTTCAGTACCTCTACCACTATGGGATTTGAATCGATAACTGAATCTCTGTGCTAATGTGGTATGGCAACTCGAACTGATGTACGTACGTACGAAGTTCCACATTGTTACTGACTGACTGACTGACAATGGTTGTCACATGTTTTGACTTACAACGATATGAACAAACAAATGTTTTTGAACTGTTAACTCAAATATTCATAACTCACAAATGACGATTTTCTACGTAAATCCGGGAAGCTGTGGATAAATTTTAACATATGAATATTACAACATCACCTTTCGTTTATTATTTTCTGACCACTATTTTGTTCAGCTGAGTTGGACTGATCAATGATGACAATTAGAACAATCGATCTACAACCAAATGTCACCTGCTGTAGATTGAACGTTTTGATTTACAATGTGAATGTGTTTTAGATTGGTAATATAAATGAATGTTAATCAATTAGTGAAATGTGATATGATTTGGTCGAGTAATAGCTATGTATGAGATAAAATTATTGACACAAGCCTCCCAAACAACAAATAGCAAAAGTGGAAATTTATCCTCAGCAGATTAGGCTTTTTCCTTAGTAAAATAGCCTGGCTATATTCAAAATACTAACACTAAGATAAATGAGTTAATGCTATAAGTGATTGGATGACATCAATTTAGGATGTGTTGCTAATGGCTCAACCATCTCAGTCGTGTTACGTTATTTTTATACTATCTGTCATAGCTAGTTTAGAAGTCAGTTCTCCATAAGGTTTGATCTAACTAAATATTTTCCAACAAAAAGCCCTCAGTAAGTTGACTTATTTCTTTTTACATATTACGGTGACAGATACTCTGAAAAAATCTCTCGATTAGCAGAGTCGAATGGTGCCTTCTGTCCAAAGAATATGGATACAATCGAAGAGGAACACGTATTCCAGTTTATATAAACTGCTGTAACATTATAACAAACAAGAATAACATCTATATTTGAAATTGCTGCAAATGATGTGAAAGTTATGTTAACAATTGTCTGTATAGATCAAATTATCTCGTTTATTCTTAATAGACACCTCGCCTATATCATTCTCTCTAGAAAACTAATAAAATATCTATTTTTCTTTCTGTTCACATGGTTTTAAGATGTTCAGTTCGTCGTAATTGAGTTATCATTATGTAAAAACGATATTCTTTGGAAGGTGATAGTTGAATTAATCAGCCTTTATGTTTGTTTTTCTATCCTTCGAAGGTTCTATATATGTGCGATATCTATTTATTCACTTGTTTTTCACTTATACTAGTCTGAATCTGATGGGCTCTCAAGATTTCAAGGGAGTTCATCTATTTCGAGTGATGATTATTTTGGTCGTCCTAAAGTGCGACAATCACAGGTATCTAATGAATTACAAAATATCAAAGATGGTGTCAAGCAAAGTGTAACTAAAGTTGCTGGACGGTTGTCAAATCTGGCAACTGATGTAGTACACACTCTTCAAGTAAGTTCAGTTAGATAATTACTGATTATGATATGTGTTTTGACTATTTTTTGAAAAGTATGATCGACTGAGTACTCTCCAAAATACTACACGCATTGTTCATTAGCGTTTTCTATGACAAAAATTGACGATATACGCTAAGACTGAACCGTGTGAAATCGTTTTGAATCGTTTCTCAATATTATTCGCCGTTGCAAGTAACGTGATCGGAGTAGTTGATTGTTCATGAATAACCCTTTCCATCTTATAGATATTGAACCCAGTTCCAAACGAACTATTTGATTGTTCAATGGTGATTTTACTGAGATGTTTAATGAAAGTTACCACTCTGTTGTTCCACTATTTAAGAATGCAATAATTTTACGTATTATATATCAGTCTGTTTATTTATTCAACACATAGTTTACTGTTGAGGAAATACGCCTACAAGTATTTGTATTCTCATTGAAATATGTCTATTCAGTGGGCAAAATCAATAAAAATACGGATGCTTTTGAATTGTTTCCCCCAAGAAGTATTATCTATACGAGTTATTGATCTCAGTAACAGTTGTTTGTACTCTCATTATGGCTCTATATCTGTTGCCTGAGCACTAATAATACCATATAATATTCCAGGCTCGTCTCTTTGAATCAATTCCACAACTCTTGTAAAAATTAGTGAACTGGTACGTGTAAATATTTATCTAATTAAGACTGATATGCGACATGTTTATTAAAATTGACATTAAAAAAAATCAGGCTACCTGAATCAATAAAGCAAAAATTATTTGTGACGAACAAATTTGTCATTGAATGGTTTTGGTTAGCGAGTACGCATCAAATTATTTTAGTGATAAGAGACATTGTCATATAATTTTCATTGTAAATTGATCGAGACTTCTGACCAACGAAATGATGATCACCTGAAAGGCTTACAAATAAATAGTCAAAGTTGGTGGTTAAATTGAATGGTAATCAAAGTAGCAGCCTGATGAGTCAAACTATACAGTAAGACATAGCTGTCATGTCGCTCACCAACAGCCCTCAAACTACCATAGATTTCGAAAGTAGAAATGTGCTAGTACTTTACTTTCTTAGTCATTTGATGAAACTGTCTAGCACTTAAAATGATGCCAGCCAAACAAATATTTTAATGTTGGCTACTGTCTATGATGTAATCGTTCAAGTTTTAAGAGCTTTTGACTCAAAGTTATTATTATTTTAACACATAGATAATGGTACAAGGAGGCACCAAATACATATGCGCCACACATCTCATTTGATATGTGTAAGGGCTGTGATACTGCCCGGGTGCCCAAACCGAAGTTTCTTCCATTGGTTATTCCAACCTTGGTATATGAAGCAACTTTTGATGCAGTAATTCACCTTCTGTCAGATTACCAAACCATTGCTTCCCAATGGATGCCGAGTGTTTGTTTTTATCGTTCCTCTTTTACAAGCACATATTTTATTATCGCTTAAAATTTGTATATTTGTATATATTTGGGTGCATTTTTTCAGGATCGATTCGGTTAGCTGCTTCCACCTTTATAATGCTTTCGGTCAGCTTGTGGTCCTTTCATTTAATATTCTGGTTTAGCCGCCAATCTCTTCGTTTTCGGTCACGATCGGGGTTCAGGACATTCCTTTTTTCCGGTTATGTATTCCTGAAGTTTTTGTTCTTTTTTATGTTTCATTCATCTCTCCAGAGATAATAAGTTAGTTAATCCTAGTTGACTGTAAGGGCCGTTTTGTTTAGTTGATGATATAAATTGAAGTTTTGTAAATCCTAATTTTTGTTTGTAAACACCAAGTAAACCATTTTTCTGGAATGATTGTTGTCTTGAAGCGTCTTCTATTATTGACGGGAATTAATATAACGTGATTTCTTTATTCATGTGAATCGCTTTCCTTTTCGTATGTATCGAATAATCTATATACAAGTGTTTCTATTACGATTATCACAATATCTGTGGATAGGAGCAACATAAAAAAAGAAATTGACGGATTAATATTGATATATTTGACCGTATTATTGACACTCATAATACATATTGATATGAGTAATGTTTCGTCCTAGTATATGACTCGAGTGCTCGTCTACAATCCTACCAAGGATCGAATCTAGGAACTTTATTCAAATTAGGCAGAATAAGATGTTATCTAAATATATCGTGTTCAGTGTTATTTTACTTCTCTACTCTCAAAATTTAGATTAATTATTCTTAACATTCATTCGTCCTTCTAAATGTTCTCTGGGTTACATACTTTATTTATATTATTTATTTGAACACATAAATATTGGTACAAGGGGCACCAAATATATATGCGTCACACGGGTTACATACGACTCGTTCACAATATTATAGTAGTCACTTTTAAATGCATTTATTGAGTTGACGTGTTTGCTAAGTGTGCTATTTTCGCATGGATGGTAAATTTACAAATGTTATTACGTGTATTGGATCTCGTGTCTATTTATAAAAAATACAGTAGCATATATCATTAGTTCAACGGCAAGATATGTCCTCCAATGGTAGTCTTGACGGACTAAGAAATTTTTGTGTTTAATAAAGAATGTTCGTGTACAGGGCGATGTAAATTGTCCGGAAGATTTTGTGATGTTCTACGTTTCTTTCAGTTCTATAGGACTGATATTTTGTTGATCATAAATATTGGCTATCTACGCGCAAGTTCTATAGAATGTATCAGAGGAACTACTCATCTGTTACACATACAAATGTAATTACTAAGCTCGTATTAATGAATTATTACTGTTCTGAAGGTCTTTACGAAACTGGATGTAATTCAAGATATTTAATGGGGGAGAGGTAGCAACATTAGTATTTTCAATAGTTGGGGACAAATGCTTAAATGTAAAAGCGATGTTATGGGTTTCGCAGATCATGCGATTCGTAACTAATATTATTGCACTTGTAGGTACCATTACCAAGATTTAACCTGATAATTTCGAATAAATTGAGTATTAGGTAGATTGTTATAAATAAATTAATATTTGTAATATCCCAGTGAGTCGAAAAATTAGATTTTCTGACATTTTGTGACTCAGTGTAAGCCAAATATAATATTATTGCACTGTTTGGTTGATTGTGACTCTTCCTTTGATCTTACGGCCTTAGATCTACCTTTTTTTATTGTGAAACTAGATTTACGGTTTTGTACATATGATAGCTAAGCCGTTGCATCGGTAATTTCTACCTTGGATGAATTAGGAAACACATGTAAGACGGTGGTAAAAAAAAGTTACTTGTTCCCAGTTAACGAACTAACCCTAAGTATTCCTGTCAGATATTTCGAACGATATTTGAAGGATTACAGCACTATTAGATCATGATAATCGCAAAATCTAATCGCTTAGCACTATCATCGGGTACTGCTAACATAAGGTACATGTTTTGAGAGCTTTATTCACGAAATGGTGCTCCGAACTGAATTACAACTTTTGATCCAATTCGTTTCGTTAACGGACTCACCAAATATGATACTTTAAATATAACTGCTTTGCTACTATTCAGTGTGATTGAATGATAATTTTTTAATATACCTTGACTAAAGGTATGTATAGTAGCTTTGAATCCTTCACTTGGTTACTGGGGCTGCAATAAGGATTGTCATACTGAATTTTTCTCTCTTGTAGTACTATGAAGATTTGGCGACAGTTGGGTTTTTAAATAAAAAAACTCAGAGTTTGATTATCAGATAACCCTTTTTGTTAGTGTGACTCGTATGAAAATAGATTACATCCTAGATTGGGATTATTTGGAAAAAATTTGAAAGTCAATCAGTACCCAGTAATACTTTTGTTCCAATTTAGAAGTGATCAGTAGTTCAGTAATGCATCAAACCTAAGATGAAATCTTGTTATTTTTTGTAACAACAATCTTATTTTCAGCATTTTACTATGAGCCGTTTAAAGTCTAAATATTTCTTGAGCTATTGAGACAAGGATTACACTAGGGAAATGTTCTCATTTGTAATGTATTATTTTGCATCATTTTAAAAAATTTACTGCAAACAATTGTTCTAAAATTTGTTTTGAATCAACAATTAGAAGGATGCTATTTTTGTTGATGAAAGTTCAAATTTCCAAATGTTTGCGATATCGAAAGATTTGATTTACGTTGGTTAGGTTGATTTGGGCGAAAGCATAATTATCACAAGAGGGGTTTGGCCGTTTCGTCCTAGTATAGTCGCGCAAGATCATGGACCATCTCAAATTAGACATTAACACCGTTTAATGTGTGCTCATCGGTCTAAAGATTACGCGTTCGCATGCGAGGCCGAAAGTCCCGTGTGCGGGATCGTGGATGCGCACTGCTGATGAGTCCCATACTAGGACTGAACGGCCGTTCAGGTTTTCAGTGGTAATGTAGCATTGATCGGTTCATGACCTCAATGAAAATATAGCTCACATTGTAAGCTCCAGCTTCACCTTTTATACCCTTAAATTCACGGGAGTGTTCTTATTTATTTGATTAGACACATTCTCTTAAACCTGCAATCAACGATAATAGAAAGAACTAGTTTAACACTGAAGCGATTCATTACTAATAAATGGATTAGTGCAACTTTATTTAGAACAGATTATGTGATTTTTCAATAGAATGTCATCTTTCTACTTATTGGACTTGCATAAATATTACCTTTTCTTTTATAAGTGGTACGATTTTTCAAATGGTAACCAGTATTTTTGGCATAAAGCTTTCAAAAATTCTATTCTTTTTCACTGATACAAAGGTATTGTTTTCGGAATTCTTATTTGTAAATAAAGGAATTTCTTTCGATCGGCCATGTAAGCTCTGAAATGAAAGAGAAACACGTCTACTTTTATAATTGTGTACTAACGATCATTGACTACATAAAATTACCTGGTAAGTTTGGGAACTTTGATGTGAACGGTTTCCTTTTGTAATATTTCGTTCAGTCATACGCTGTCAATGTTGTTGACATGGAAGTTTTATTGGTAGCTGAATGAAAAGCTTCTAATGTCTTAAATAATACCGTAAAATTTGCTTCGGGAAATTCGCCTAATACCTATGACCTTCGAAGCATATTATCTTGAAATAGTTTTATCGTAAAATATATTTAATCTTATATTACTACGTCGCTTTAAAATTATCTTAACCTTTTGGGAACAAGAATGACTGAGTGATATTTCTGAGGAGTTTTGCTTCATTTTTTTCTGGGTGATGTGTGCTTCCACCCATCTGCACCGTTCCTTATATAGTTCTACCTTCGTAAAGTCTTATTACAATTGATAGACTTAAACATTACTTCCAAATCTTTTACTAAACACAGAAAACCGGGATATGGTAGTGTAACCGACTGCATATTCGTTACTAAATCAAATATCTCACCAGATAAGGACCAAATGAGAAATCTTGATTGTGATGGTTATAAACTGAACCACTTCTCTCAAAATTTGGTTCCAGATTATCTGCAGATGTTTCTACGTGAACTGCAAATAAACGTATACACTATACATGAGGTGTATAGAATTAGGCTTTTGTGTGTCCAGCTAAGAAAATTACTTCCAACAGTTGGAAAAATCGTTTTGAATAACTACTTTTGGCAATCGCCATATACGATAATTCTGCAAGATAAATGAATATTAACTGCTCTTACGAAAATAAAGCATTTCTCATTAATATTGTATTAAAATAAGGATGGCAAAATTGTTATTTAAATTGATGTCAAGGTTGACTATCATAAAATCACAGTTCCTACAACAGCATAAAAATTTACATTTACCCGATTGTGATGAGGTTTCATATGGAATTTCATAGAGTTTCATGTATTCTTTTAGTGGTATTATCCCTTCGTAAGAAGATATGTCCGCAAAATATCCAACTACAACTAAATATAAAATTCACTCATAATCTGTTTAAAGCTGTAAGTAACCACAAATATTTAAGAGATTGAGAATCGGAAACTCGCTTAATTTCCTGACAACAAATTATAGTATCGTTAATAGGGTATATAATATTGATTCGGTCGGTAAAGTGGTCCTTATAATCGAATTGATGCAGTTTTACATGTCATATAAAAATCAATTAAAATTAACCAGAATAAAATAACTGAACATACTGATAGTGTTTCCTAGAAAGAAATGAAATCATTTGTCAGCTCCGGCACACTCACGAACTTTATACTTCCACTGCTCTTAAAAATGATAAATGACGACTTCCTTTCATGTGCGAATTGATGTTTTTCATTAAATGTCTTCCACCGATCTAATACTAAACTTCCAAATTATAATATTAGGCACTTGTTTCAACTTTATGCACAGCGTTTAAAAGTTTAAATTAGTTTATTTGGTTGCGTCACTCTGGCTTCTTACAATACATTTGTTCATTTGTAACGAATGAATGGCTATTAATATATTCATTTTACGTCTTTAAGGGGCAAAATGTGACCATGTACAATTAGATGCCTTTCCTTTTATCCCATAGCACTCTTGAAGCTTTGGTGAAACTAGTCTTGATCTGACTAACCAAAGTTTGCTTAAGCAGTATAATCCATAGGATATGAGATGCTTATTGTAAAATCGAATTAAGTGCAAGTAAGAACTTTACTTGATTATTAATTGAGTCTCATAGCAATATATATATATGTACACAATTTTGGAGTAATTTTCATGCTCCAGTAATGAACAGATTATTGACCTTGATATGCTACATTTGCACATAAATCATTGTTTGACAATAAACAACTTACCTTGTTGTGGAATCAGCTCTGGGCGTATTTGACGAATATTATTCAATATTCCAGTTAACTTCCTCTGAAAATGCAAAAACTACGTACTTTAATGTTTTAGGAATCGCAAACGTCATTAACAACGATACCATTCACACTACTCATATCAACAAGAGTTCAGTGTTTGATTTAGTTTAACCGACAAATTTTAAAATATAACGTACTTCTCTTGCGACTACGCACGTTTACTTTAAACGTAACTAAAAATACAGTCCTATCACACTGCTAGGTTTAGGCCGATTAATTTTCTTCTGGTCTATATTTGTGGTACTTCATATAGATATCTTATTTTTATTTTCGTAGAGGCTTGTCTACATCCAATTATTTTTACTTAGGTCTCTAAAACCAACAGAAAACTTTCCTGTGTAGTTAAGTTCAAGAATTTTAAGATACCAGTGTGGGGTTGTGTCTTTAAGGACTCTTTAATTCAAGTGGAGTTATGACTTAGTGATTGGACCACTGAGCTCCCAACCAGTAAGTGGTACGTTGGAGCCCAAAGCCATTTAATTCATTTTAAGTAATTGAATAGCAACAGCGCACACAAACAGTATAGCACATATTCGAGTACCCGAACGTGTACTTGTCAAATAGGCCACAACGAACCAGCTTCTTAGTTTTCGGTAATCCAAGTGCCTTAATCTAACAGACATTATAATAAAGTTTTGTCATCTTGATAGTAAGTAGAAATCGAGGGCTTTCCATTCATGTAAAGTTACGACGCTAAGTAAAGTTAGAGTCATTTAGCATCCTCCTGTAGCAAACATATATGGTTTCACAGCTTATCCATACTACGTAAATATTTTATTTCGTAAACGCAACAAAAGATTAAGACAGAAATTAATGAATTTGCCGCTGTAAAAATACATTTTGTGTGGACTCAATATACTCCATGTCGTTAATTGCCTTACGTTAAAAAAATCTGGTTCATTATCACATTTAATCGAAGTCAAAATATATGAACTACTACCCCATCATCTATTCTACTCTCATGGTTAATTACAAAGTTATTTAAATATGCGTATTGAAAGTAAACTGCTATGTGTTATCTGAATTCCTACTTCTAATATAAGCAGAGGTGGATGATGGCTAGCACTAGAATCGAGGACAAACGCTTCGTCCTATTTGAGGCTCGTCAGTTGGATGTACCTGCATCCCAGAGTTGATGTTCTCTCGAAAGCGCTTGGAGAGAAAGTTACTGGGTTAGAGTCCTGGAGTGAACGAGATACGTGTCCTCAACTTCAATACTAGCCACTATTCATCTCTGCTTGCAATGCTTATGGTGATATCGAGGCAATCCGCACTTGATGCGCATGTACCAATAAGAGACTGATCAGTTGCAGTTCTAAGCATCAGTGGGAACATCCAAACAACCAATACACAAATGAATCACTACTTTTAATATACATTGGTATATACCTTGAAATAATCGACAATCTGACTCCTAGTTTTCGCAGTTAAACTTACTTTAAAAGTTTCGGGAACGTATTCGTCTTGACCCTGTGATAAAAAAGGAATAGAAGTCTTTTGAAAAATGCTTTAAACATTTGAAAAATTGCATACTGATAACCCCGACAATGTCATTGCCGAACTTTGTTAAAAAAGGCTGGAGATTTCAAGTCTACTAACAACAAATTAATCAGTTTCCGCCAAATTAAATAACAGAATACAAGGTTTTTTCTGTTATGGGGAGTGATATGTTAATCCAATAGGCCTTCATTTGATAGGTTAATAAATGACCTACGAAATCTGAGTTTCATAATCAATTATGCTCTTAATAAATTCCGATGATGTTTGCTTTGTGGAGTGTGTAACTTTGTCACATAACACGGCTGGTACTTTGATGACTGTTATTGTCTTACGAAGCTTGTTCGTTGAGGTATTCCATCTGTAATGGTTTTGTGAGGGATCATTTCTAGGCCGCATTAATGTTATGGAGTTGGTGGATCGGACAGCGCAAAAAAATTATCTTCCATTATAACAGTTTAAGAAAAATGAGCGATCGCATTTCGCATAATGTTAAACCATTGAAAATTATGGTTCCTGTAAATCCATTGAAATTCCGACATTTTAGCACATTCTAATTTGTTTCTGCATGCACTTCTTAACTATGTATTGTTCTTAGACTGTTCATAAAATTGATAAGTGCATGGTTTTTTGGTCTTTGAACCTCATAGTAATTACGACACATGAATTAAATAATTTATAATTAGAACCTGCGTGGATGAAAAATAAAAATTAATTACTATACAGATGTATTTCGAATAGAACATGTTAAATCTCACTCTTTTATCTACACAGATACCAAGTTTACTTTAAGTTGATTGTCGGCTCTTTACGCCAGTACGTTTACCGAAAGTTTTAATGTAATAGTAATCCATGGGCTTCATGGAAGTAAGCTCACCACCTGCCTGCAGGTATCTTTTGAACTTTGAAATACCATAGGCGGAAATGCTCGCTCTGAGTCTGTTTAAAACGTCAAGTGTTTACTTTTGTTGGAAGTGGTTCCTTCGTTAAGTTGGATCGTGCAAATCCTTAAGAACATTTGAGGATTTCAATTGTTTACATTTGGTTTTTTCAACTGTTCAAACAGTGTTCTTAGAAATTTCCCCTATTAGAAGCACATCAAATGTTACAGAATTTTAGTGATAAAAGAAGCTCATACTTAATTGACATTTATTTGTTTATAAATTAAATAAATGATTATTATGAGCTAACATTAGTAAGGCATTATAGTTCCCTAGTTATCTAGATGTAGGTATGGAAAGTAAACTGAGTTACTGATTTTTAACAGAACTGAATTTGTCCAAGAGACAATCTAATGCTTCAGAATTACGATTATCAGGATTTAGTGGAAAAGACGGTAGTTAGCTTGGTTTTGATGTAGTCATAAAGATGAGGGAACTTATCATATTGGATAACCATAACTTATATTCATTTTTTCAATGTAGCTTACCCGCATGGATTCTTCTGCCAAATGTACGCTTAGTCTATTCACTTGACTTAGTAAGTCAAGTAACTTTTTCTCATCAGATTCATTTGAATCATAGTCTGATATTACTGTCGGTGACATATCAAAAACCAACTGTTCATATGTCCGGTATATACGATGGACGATATTATCGATTGCACATAAGACACGATTATGAATCGTAGGAGCCAAGAAGTTTTTTGTGTACATTTCTTGGATGTTGGCTTTATCAAACTCACTGAAATGTCGATAGTCTTGAGCAACATTTTGACCCTTATTTTTCTGTTCAACGTGACGATTCATGCAAGATTCTATGATTTCTTCAGACTTGACAATTACTCGAAAAAATTCCATCAAACTTCTAAAACTTGACTGGCTAACTCAGTACGAACATTAGCGAAAATACCTCAATAATGTGTATCACGTGATAGGGATAAACCATCAAGAGACCTGTAACATGGTCCGGCGGTGTGAAACTGGATGTAAGCTTTTCATAAAATTCTATCGAATTGGGTCAAGTCATAATGTGAGTACTCACTTCCAACTTCACTGCTATTAATGTGTGGTGAAATTTTTCCAACCAATACAACAGAGTACAAAACATTTGCCTAAATTAATATGTAAATTCGATTATTAATTTCTCACTCGTCCGACGAACTCTTTTTGCTCGAGTGCTTGATAAAGAGAAACTAAGTGAGATGAACTACCGTTGTCGCCCATTCTCGTTATAATTTATACCTGCGCACATTTTGGTAGCCATAGGTAAATAGGCTAAAACACGTCCAATAAAAACCAGAGCACGTCTAGTGTCCAAAAAAGTTAAATTAGGAGTCTAGTCGTATAATAATAGATTATTCCTTCCATAAGCTATCAGCATCTAACGTATTTAACTTCCTTGAAATTTATCTGAGAGATATCAATAAGTGTGTGTCTGATTCAGTCATTTCAAGGAACGCTCTCTATTGAAAGGAATGGTAATTCGTTGGGCTAAGCCGAAATCGGTCAAATAATAATCCTATATGAATTAGCTTTTCCCCTGGAAATGAAACATGCCATGGAGGTGTACCCTAAACTTTTGAGGCCAATTACGTATGTGAATGAGTGTACAGGCATTTCTCGGTTCGATTAGACAATAAAAATCTTCCGTCTTCGAGGCCTGTGAGGTGCGATTGAGCTCTGGAGAAACCCACCGTCAAGTTGAGCCTTTTCCACTTTGCACGACACATCACTGAATGTTAGATAGTTTATCAAACATCGTCAAAGTCAAGAATGACTAACGCCAACTGATTAACTGAACGTCATAGAGTGGAGTTTACAACATTGACTCTAATATACACTTCTCTAAATGCTTCATATAGTAAATCTTTTAATTTTTGTACTGTTCTATTTGCACAGCCATCAAAGGAGTCATTACTCACACACGACCGTTACCGCTAATGGAGAAGCATAGGGAGCCCAACAGCACTCTCCATCCAACCCTGTCCTCGGCAATACTTTCCAGTTGCTATTCATTCCGGCCTCCGATTTCCGACTCACCGTGTTCTCCAGCCTTCCTCTTTCCTGTTTTTTACTTCGGAATTCTAAGTCAGCACTAACCTCGTGATTCAGTTTGATGATTTCTTGAATGTTCCTCCCATTCGCTTCCAGCATCTTTTCCTAATTTCTTCTTCATCTGGAGCTGGTTTGCTCTCTCCCACAGAAGGCTGTTGCTGATGGTATCCGGCCAACAGATATTGAGTATCTTGCGTAGACAATTGTTTACAAATACTTGTACCTTTTTGATGATGGTTGTGGTAGTTCTCCAAGTTTCAGCTCCGCACAGTAGAACTGACTTGACGTTCGTATTGAAGATTCTGACTTTGATGTTGATTGACAATTGTTCTGAGTTCTGCACTGGTTCGTGTGTATGGGATAGAAGGGCAAGGTTATCTACGAAGTCCAAATCTTTTAATTGATCATGAGCTGTCCATTGTATTCCGAGCTTTCCCTCAGATGTGGAGATCTTCATAATCCAGTCGACCACCAGGAGAAAGAGGAAGGGAGAGAGCAAGTAGTGTTGTCTGACACCGATCTTTACTTAGAATGCATCTGTCAGCTGTCCTTCATACACCACTTTGCAGTGTAGTCCGTCGTATGAATTCCATATGATATTGAAGATCTTCTCAGGTATACTATAGTGTCGGAGAAGGTTCCATATGGTTCTCCTATCCACTCTGCCAGATGCCTTGTCATAGTCAAGGAAGTTAATGTATAGTAACGACTTTCATTCCATTGTTTGATCAACAATGACCTGTAGTGTCGCGGTTTGGTCTGCTCATGATCGATCTTTACAGAATCCGGACTGTTGATCTCGAAGCTGAGTGTCCACTGAATCCTTCATCCGGATCGAAATCATTGTTGGAAACTTTTCCTGGTACTGATAGTGGTGTGACGTCTCTGTAGTTCACCTATTTGTTAACATACATATTAAGGTAAATCCAATGATTTCAGTGGTTGTGGACGTTATACACGAAGCTTAAGTTTATCGGGCTTTTATGTTTAGTAGCTGTGGATCACCAATTCGTAGGTATATTACCGATGAAATAGGAAAACGTAATGGGTAAATTATAAAAATATACTTTCCTTATTCATTGAGAATATGTCAAGTTTCCTCTTAAACGACTCCTGGTAGGTCGCTTGGACTAGCTCTCTTGGCAACTCTTAATTAGTAGAAGTCGTGTACACAGTCCATTCTGCTATATTGTATCTCCAATTTCCGGGTGTTACCCTTCAGGTTTATGTTGTAGCTAAACTTAAGTAGGTGTTTAAGTGGATGTCTAGAAGTGCTAAGGGTACTGTAAGTCATTAGAAGGTTACTTCTAATACACCTGTACTCTAGTGGGTAAAGGTTTAGTGATTGGAGGGCGCTATTCATAAGGCTTGAATTTGAGACCTTGAACTGATTTGGTGGCTTGCGTTGGATACGCTCCAGAATGTCCTCACCCTATAAGAGTGAGGGAGGAAATACTGTTTCCGTACTCTAAATGGGGATGAATAAAACTGTTGAAGATTATGTGGAAAGTTCTTCCTTCAAACTGGCCAAAACTGTGCTTCAATGTTACCAGTGCAGGATTTGCTCGAAAGGCATTTTTGTCACAGTTAGCGTAAGACTTCAAATCGTAGGGTACCGGCACACCTAAACCTTTTTCTACTCGGGATACTACTGTTCTTCACGAGGTCTTGTAATTCTTCGACTTGTTCATTTCTAAGGTGTATCATACGAAGACTGTCATCCTATGTTTTATATCGGGTACATTTTACCTGAAAAATAAAAAAAAATTTCGATGGATACTTGCCAGCTCATATTATTCCTATTACGGACTTAAGTCTAAAATAGATCTAAAATTTACCATATATTCATAGTCTCTGACCATTGTATTAACCAGATTATTACTTAATAACTACTAATACTCAGATATTATATTTGATTTAACGAGCTCTGTACTCACCCAGCTTCAAATCATGGTCAACAGTTCCAGCAAAAGAGAAAGTTCATCAACTTCTAAGCCAAATAAAAGGTCCAAATCTGTAACTCCCATGACTGACGACTCAGTAACTGATAATGTCGAAACTTTACCGAATGACTGTATGAATGAATGCACGTTTATTCTTAGCAGTGCGCGCATAAAGGATAAATTAAGGCTGGAATCAGTACAGAGACGATTTACACTTCGTATTCTTGGAGCTGATTGTACCTTAACTTATAATTCTAGATGTAAAAAACTAGAGCTAGACCCTTTATGGAAGTGGAGACTCAAACTAAATCTTATTTTTTCTTCAAACTACTTAATAAACTATCCTTTACATCCAATCATGTAATTCAATACGCAGAAACTCTTCATTATGAAACACGTAATTCCTTGGCACTTGTGAAACAAACTTATTCTAAATCATCTCTTTATATGAATTACTTTGCCTGTAAATTTTCTAGACTCTGGAATAACCTACCAGAACATATCCGTACGATTAAATCACTCCCATTATTTATAAGTTGCATCGATGCATACTGCTCCTTCGAAAATGCATTGAATGCTCTAGCACATGCAAGTGTATCTCACTCCACAAGTGTTATTATAGGAACTTTAAATGTTTAGGCATTTTTATTAGTGTATTCTCTGGATAAAACCAACAACTTGCTGTCACTTTATGTTAATACCGTCCCCAGCTAGTTTAACTAATTTGAATATCATCAACAGTATATCACTGTGTCACATGACATATGCATTTTGATAGATCTGATCGACATATTTCGGTGATTACCGCTTTGTTGTTCCGTACTCTCTGTTTTCGTTTTAATTTCTCTAGTTGTAGATATTTATCATTAAATCGATCTGGCACACAAAATGACCTTAATTACACCGTTCATAAATCAACAGACTGTCCAGTTAAGAAATATTACATGTTCCCGGCTGATGCATTGGATCGCTGTAATACCTAAACAATTACTGAACTAGTAAACTTAAAACTCATATCACATGTTTGTTCTGTACATATTATGATATTATTTATATCAAATTGATCATACCTGTAAACTGGCGTGAATTCTGTAATTATCATTTTTTCAGAATATAAATTATTATTATTATTATTAAATGTCACTATCATCACCTGATTCTCTATGTTACAGCCCCTCCATCTCTGGGTGCAGTACGCCAACGGTAAGACTGGGTGACATACAAGACACTGTACCCATGTTCATCGAATCGCCAACGCAGTCTACCAGACAGTACGCTCTACCAAGGCCTAAATCTAGAATTTCAAAAACTAAAGAATCCAATAGTTCATCTCATACACACGAAAATACTAATAGATATAGTACTGACATCAGTCAGTTACAAAACTCTCTATCCGAAATTCACGGCAGACCTTGACACTGATAGGAATCTTGAGCAACTCACTAAAGCTGGGTGTATTTTGGAGTTTGCGACTAAAGAAGTGACGAAAAAAGTGATGACCTCATTCAATGCAGTTGCATATAACATTCCGACCTCACACACCCATCTAAGTTGAGGGATATTTGCCTTATAGCATGAAGTATGCTGAACGTTAACTGCAAAGTCATCCGCCTTAGAAGAAAGTCAGACAAATCAACTGGCCCCTCCCCTGTTTATAATAATAATAATATATTTCTGCATGAGCAGGTACACGCCATTTTTACAAGCATTATCCACAAATTACAACATTTGTCGGAGCATAGCACGCTTCCCAACTTATTGAGTTTATAGTTGTCATAAAGTAGACACGTAGAGCTCTTGCTATAAATCATGACCTTGAGTTGACACATACGTCAAGTTTGTTCCAGACGTCAGAAGTTCCATAGCTGTGCACTCAGAGCAAGATACTGAAGAAAAAAATAAAAAAGAGAATCAGAAGAGCAGCAAGGCACTCCGATATGTACTCCAAACGTTGTTTAACATTGTGTAGTAGAACAGACAGAGGCATAATAAATTAGATTAAATTCATATTACCTCTTGTTAGAATGAAATGAAGCCAGAGGCTCCATTTAAGAGATTGTAACAATAAAGAACAATGAATTCTGACGTTTAACAAGTTGAAGTAAGCTCATATGAAGGAAGGGAAGTTAAGATTGGTACAGGGAAAGTTGTTTATTAGAAGGGAGTATGCATATAGAGGGTGAAGTGTTAAGAGTATTAACAACTATATCTTTTATTGTCTGATTTTTTCTTTATTTTCTTTTTTGTCCATCCGATGCC